GGAGAGCCGAAGAGAACCTCAGGCTTGATGATGCGCTGCACCAAGCAGCCGTTGATGCTCTGGGAATCCTACGTCCCAACCATACCTGAGGTCGACCGGAAAGAGCGGAGAGCCCTGACATCAACGCCAGTAGTGATAAGCGTCCAGATCCACTACACCATTCCCATAGGTGAGCATGGACATGCTTTCTCCCTTTTGGTCTCGAGGACAGCCAGTGTTTGACGTTGGAGATCGCCTTGCGCTTGCTCTTGGTGTAGTACTCTTCAGGCATGGCGCGGTAAAGCTTTCTGAGGTACTTCTTCTTCTCCTCACGAAGGTGATCTGGAAATCAATACCTGGGTACGCATGGTCGTTGCAGTACTGTGCATACTCTACCTCTTCGACCGGCTCACCATCTTCCGGGAAGTTCTCATCAGCTGGCGCGCACGGTGTCGGAGTCAACATGTAGAAGCAAGAGACGCCGCGCCATGTGAAAGGAAGCACAGTCATGTCTGCTCTCCAGTTGTGCTGCAGCGTGGTGGTCGGCCAATTCCAGTGGGGTTGACCATGGTGACCCTGTCACTGTCGAAGTTGTCAACCGAGATCCCTGGAGGCAAGTCTCGAATAGAGTCCGTTGGGCGGAAGCAGGCAAGTCGTCTCTGGTCGAGAAGCACTCGGTCGAGAAGCACTCGGTCATCTTCGTAGGTGACTTCCCAGTAGTCTTCAGCTTCAGGTTCTTCTTCTGCTTCAGCCTCGTTGAAGTGGACTGTCTTCTTGATGTGGGGTGTTTCTTTCTTGTTGTTGTTGTCTGCTGATTGTTGGTGCTGGTGGTGTGTGAGGATACTTCCGACTGCTGCTGTTTCTCTGATGGTAGTTCCTGAGGACCACCCACCTGATCGTGCTCACTGACGTTGTGGTAATGTTCACCCCGCTGCACTTTGCCGGGCTCTTGAAGTTGGTGTAGCATTTTTTGACAGCGGGGCTCACGTCTTGCCAGATTGCTGTAGATGTTGAGGCCACTTTCTCCATGAAGTGAATGGTCTGTTTGCGCTGGTTGTTTGTGAGCTCCTCTTGGGTGTTGTTGTCGATCGGGATGATATAATGTCCAGAATCCGCCAGCAGCAATCTTATCACGCTCACGTTCTCGCCGGAGTTCTTGTCGTCGTCTTCTCGACAAACCAGCAGTCCATCTCCTCCGGTGAACCACTCCGTGAAGATGCAGCGCGAAGCTGCCGTAGGCTAGGGTTGGACACCAGCGCCGGACATAGAGATCCTTCGCCACCGAGGACGTCCGCAGAGAACGATGCGGTCGGCCAGTGTCTTGTCACAGTGAGGTCTTGCTTTTCCAACTGACTTCAGAAAGTGGTCCTCGAGGCTGTAGGCAGTGGTCCATAATGTTGCGAAGTGTCTCACTGCCGATGAGGCCAGCAGAGGCTCCCGGATCTACTAGAAGACCTCTGCAATTCTTGCCTTTCACCATGTGATAGGAGAGGTTGTCAGGCTTGCTTCCATGACCATCGTGAAGGATGACCGGGAATCTCAACTTCTTGACGGAGTCGCCCATGTTCTTCTCTGTCTTCTCTGGCGCGAGGCAGTCTTTCTTGGTCATGGACAGCTCAGCCGGCTTCTGTGTCTGCTGCACCACCGGATCGGTATTCACAAATTCTTTTGTAGTCCGTGAGGCGTCGAGGCGAAGTCCTTGCCGAGCATGGTAGAACTGCTGCTGCTGCCTGACATACCGGTCGCTGTAGTCGGCAAAGTACTTGCCCTTCTTGCCTTTTCTTTTGCCCTTGCCCTTGCGGTGTTTGCCTTCTTTGCCAAAAGGCCGATAGCCGAAGCCCTTTCCTGAGGACTTTCCTCCTCCGTCATGGCCACCAGATCGTTGCAGAGGGCAAGATGCAGCAGAATGCCACTTCGATCCGCAGGTCCTGCAGCCCAAGCCCATGAGGCCTTTGCGCTTGCCCTTCAAGTAGCCTTCTGACTCTTGTGGCGGTTGTTCGATTGTCTTGGTTGGCAGTGTCCTGGTAGATGCCCTCGTCCGTGTACCAACTGTCGTCATAGTCGGCCTCGAACCAGTCCAGGTCTTCGTCGTAGTAGCTTTCCAGCCACTCATCATTCCAGTCGCCACTTGTCCAGTCAGCCTCGTGGTTCCAGCTGTTGTCATCCTGGTTCCAGTAGTTCTTGCTCTGGGTGACCTCATCCTCATTGGTGATGTCATAGTAGCTCGTCTGATCTCCTTGTCGCTGGGCAAGACGAAGTGCCAAGAGGCGAGCTTCCTCGAAGCAACCCATGTGTCCATGCAGCTGGGGCATGATGTCGTCTATGTGCTTCTGCTGGAGCTGTGAGGCCCGGAAGTACAGGTAGGTCTTGGCCACATTGCCCATCTCGAGGCCAGAGTGCATGATGGCCTCTTCCAGCTTGAGGTTCCACTCCACCGAGAACTCCTGCAGCGAGAGGCGACCACGGCGGAACCCAAAGCCTTAGTGGCGAGGACCTGTTCTGCATCTCCGAAGGCATATTACAAAGCGCCTGAATCTCTGACGGGATCGCGTGCTGGATGACCACCATGGGATTGTTCGGACCCTGCGCCTCATCGACTGAGAGTCTCACCAGCGCGGCATCCCCAACGTTGTAGGTCCCCATGAGATCCACCAGGCGGAGGCCAAGAGCTGCTTTCTGAGCTCTGCCTTGAAGAAGCCTTCCAGCCACCAGAGGTTCTACGGTTTCATCGGCTCCATCATATAGCCTGTACCGCATCCGAAGGCGTTCGAAGAACAAGTTGAGGGGATACTCTGGCAGGTTCGGTGCCCATCCTGGCGGCACATCCCGCCTGTACTCCGAGAGTGGAAGGTCGAGGTCAGGATGCGGGCGATCAAGCCAAAGATCTTCTTCCAGTGAGAGCGTCGCCTCAGAGGCGTTCCGTGCAACGTGACGTTCAGCTCGTCGAGGTGAAAGAGGTCAAAGCGTGCGCCCGGATCGAGGTCCGGTATGGCTGCGGCGCAGGAGCAGAGCCCCGCTACCAAACTAAGGAAAACCCCTACGGGCTCAAATCCTTTTCCTTGAGCAAGGCGCCTATCGGCGGTCGGTGTATGGGATTCACACACTGTAAGAATGTTCACTCCGCTCTCACTTGTCGGTGTTCTTGAAGATAGGCTTGATATGGATTCATGTTCTCGATCTTGGTCTCCTCAAAGTTCACAGCGCAGTTGGCGCAGTCCTTGCAGTACCGTCTGTTGAAGGCTATGCGGTTCAAACAGCATTCAGCACCGTCAGTGACCTTCCCTACGAACTGGCTGCCCTCCGCCCCAGTAACTCCGGGTGCCTGGGTCGCATGACGCAACTTCGTGAAGGCATCGGTCAGCAAGTTGACACGGCGACACTGCGTAGAGTCGATGGCCCCACTGGCGTCGTTCGCCGGGGACCCTGGGCCTCCACAACTGCAGCGGCCGGCAGCAAAAGAGAGCCTGTTGCTCAGACCTTGAAGAGGCCACCTGCGCGGTCTGGAAGGCAAGCCGAAGTCCGAATGGTGCATCAGCCCATGCTTCTGCCTAAAGACCCGAGCCCCCGGAATCGCTTCCCCAAATCCACCTCCGCAAGAGGCTGCAAAGGGAGCCAGCCGTGCACTCGCCGGATGCCACCCGGCCAGCAATGGAGGTTAGAAGGTATCTCCCCGCTAGGAGAGCTTCGGCCATGATGCCCTTGCTGAAGAAGATCCTCCACAGGGCGCTTGAAGTCAAGGTACGCACCTGTGGAGAGGACAGGACGATCCGTATGCGCGGCCAAGCAACTCCTGGCACAGCAGACATTCGACAAGCAACTCTTGCCGAAGAAGCTACTCACACCACAAGCCAAAAAGCCAATTTTGGATCATCCTTGAGCCAAAAGGCCCCCGAATGATCCAATTCTATCCTTGAAGAATGAAACCTGCAAACCCTAGCCTTCCAACACCTGATGCAGGGATATCTTTGTGCAAGCCCTGTGTTTTTCAGGCCTTGCGGAAAGATAGAAACTTTTGCTACGGCACGCACGTGCGCCCTGCGCACACACACACACACACAAACAAACGCACGCGCGCGGCCACGCGCTCACACCCGCACTCGCGCCCACACACGCACACTCGCACCCACGCACCCACGCGCCCGCGCGCCCAGCACCCCACACGCCCAACAACAAAACGCACACGCAGACGTATACGCACACGCGCGCAGGCACAGACACGACCAGCGGCCAGCCTTGAAATTTCAATGCAGCCGGGTTCTCGCTCACTGAGGGGAAAAACTTGTGTTCACGCTCTTATCCTGAAATGTGTTGAATTCCAAGCGGCGGTCTTCAGTTGCGTGCTTTAGTTGGGGTCTCAAAATTGGAACCTCCCACGTGGCCACTGTGTAAGCACAGATGCCTGAGAGCTGTTAAGCACGCATGGGCAAGCAGGAAAACAGGCAGTCAGGGAAGCAGGAAAGGAAAGAGCAAGGAAGAAAAACAAAATATACAGAAGCATAGCAGCTGGCAGCGTAGCAGCATGAAACCACCTTGGACTTGCGCTTCCGCTTGCGAAACGCTTGCGCGAAATCTGACGAGTCAAAACATTAAGAACCGTGTGTGTCTTCTGGAGCACCCCAACATATTTCAAAGGCCCTGGTGCTGGCACTGATACTTCCGGCCACCAAACTGTTCGGGACGCAAATCCGACTGGAGCGACTCTTGCGAACACTGCAGTTTTGCCTTGCGCGGCCGCGCGCTTGTTCAAACTTGGCCTGCCAAGTTCTAAGCGGCGGCCTTTTTGCCCGAATGCTAACCAAAACCCTGGGATCCCCGAATACACAATAAGTGTGGTGCGGGCTTTCTTGACTCAACTGTTTTGGTTTTTGCTTCAAGCCGCTCTTCAGCCCTCGCCGAGGCGGGCTTGCGGTAGCATTAAAGCAGAGCCTTGCAGTTGCCCAGGGTGATCGATCCAAACAAGCGCAAACGAGACGAGCCCCTGAAACAGCAGAGGGGGGTGCAAGGATGCTCCCGAACCCGGCCTGCTGCCACACAGCGCCATCCTGGCCGGTCGGATCCAATCGAGTGCCAGAGGCTGTAGTATTTGCCCGAAAGATAGGCTCAAACATGCGGGGACAAAAACGCTGGAAATGAGCCTGATGCTACGCATTATCAGCAACGGCGTCAACACGTTACAGACATCTCGGGAAACTCCAATTAGCCACGCGCACGCAAACGCACACACACACACACTTGCATCTTGCGTGTCGGGCACAAACCAGGTTAAAAAAACACCAGCCGGAAACAACGCGACGGCGAGCCAGACCCTCCCACAAACAGGAGACATCTTGAAACTGCATCTTTTCAACCGAGGCACCACGAAGCGCAGGTTCCCATCACGCAGCCGGCTGAGAGCCTCTTCCGGCGCCAGACGCAAGCTCTGGCACTCTGGCGCAGGCATCTCGTCATCCACTGCGTCTGGCCAAACTGGCGCTGGCCTCGGCTTGTTTGGGCACGCCTCCAGAAATAGGGATGCGGCGGGCCACTCTTGCAGGAGGGGACTCCGAAAGGACATCGGTTGAAAAGCCAGCATGATGGCCTTTGGCATAGGTCACACGCGTGTCTTGAAGGTGTGGGGTTGTGTGCCCAGAGAGAGAGAGAGAGAGAGAGAGAGAGAGAGAGAGAGAGAGAGAGAGAGAGAGAGAGAGAGAGAGAGAGAGAGAGAGAGAGAGAGAGAGAGAGAGAAGAGAGAGAGAGAAAGAGAGACAGAGAGAGAGAGGGAGGGAGAGAGAAAGAGAGAGAGAAAGAGAGAGAGAGAGAGAGAGAGCGCGAGAGAGAGAGAGAGGGAGAGAGAGAGAGAGAGAGAGGAAGAGAGGAAGAGAGGAAGAGAGGAAGAGAGGAAGAGAGGAAGAGAGAAAGAGAGAAAGAGAGAAAGAGAGAAAGAGAGAAAGAGAGAAAGAGAGAAAGAGAGAAAGAGAGAAAGAGAGAAAGAGAGAAAGAGAGAAAGAGAAAGAGAGAAAGAGAGAAAGAGAGAAAGAGAGAAAGAGAGAAAGAGAGAAAGAGAGAAAGAGAGAAAGAGAGAAAGAGAGAAAGAGAGAAAGAGAGAAAGAGAGAAAGAGAGAAAGAGAGAGAGAGACTGTGTGCGCAGTGCGTAATAACAAAGCTTGGCCTTGACTTCGTCAGCCCCTGTTCCAACTGCAAGCCGCAGCTTCCTGGGACAGCGGCAAAGCGAGTGATGAAAACCCCGATGATCCGAGTGGTGTGACACCAGTCTTCTGACGGCAGGTTTGCCTGCCTGCGCCGTGTGCTGCTTTACAGCTTCAATGCAAACGAAAACAAAAACGGCGTAGCGCAATAACATGCTTGTTTACAGGCAACAAGCTCCGTAATGTGAGCGAAGTGCCAGAACTCTCCAGAGCCGGAGCCACAAATATGGCGCCTCCTGCCTCCAGGAAAAAAACGCACGACTCAAAGAATTGGCGTGGGGTTTCGCTCTGTTTAGCGAGGCGTCGACATCAACTTCGCGCGGCGTCTGACCATGACCAATCCAGGCGGTTTTTCTCTCAAAATTAACACCACATGTTCGACCCAAGATATGGCGCACGCAACTACTTTTTGACACACAAAACCATTTGCACCCGTGTCGCGCACGCAAAACAGCAGCGCACGTGAGAATTCCTGGCAACGCCGCGAACAGCGCGCCCCCTGCGCGAGCCACCGACATCATAAACAAAGCGCCAGGCTGCGCTGTGTTGCCAAGAAAAAGCCACCCGCGCGACAGACCGCAACCTTGCCCGTACAGAGCACAGCAGCGTGGCCGCGTGCAATGAAGCCAGAAAGCGCACAAACGATACGTCGCAGGCCGACAACAGCTTGCTTCCGCTAAGCAAAACGGTTGGGACAGTTTGTTGGAACGGTTAAGCCAATGAAAAACGGTGGGAAAGGGGGCAAGGAAAGACACGCGCTGCGAGTGCAAGGGCAGCTCTTTTTTGTCAATTGAAATTGCCGGTGATGCGCGTGATGAGTCTCGTTCATCCACAATGCGTTGGGAGGATGGAGAGGAAGTCTGTTGAGTCAAGGCAGGACAGCTGTGTTGGGAAGGGCGCCAACAAAGTGGAGAGCGCGCCTGACGGCAAGTTCGACGCTGACCAGGTGGTTGCGTTCCTGCACGTGTGTTCGATAAAGCCGAAGACGCGGGCCAGCGCCGGTGCTGGACGCCCTCCAGAGCTGCTGTTCGGCTATGACCCGGAAGGGGTCCAACATGCGAAAAGCTCCATGCGCTGCGGAGCGGCCCAACGTTCATCACAGAGGCCTCAAATCGCAGAGCGTACGTGCAGAACGCGATGAAATTGCGCGAGTTCATCAGAAACTGTGGCTTCTGTGAATCAAGAATGCAAGCCAGGCTATGTGATCCCTTGCGCAAGTCAAAACCACACACACGCGCCGGAGGACAGGGATCCTGTCACCTCTCCTAGCAGGGGGCTCCCGCGTGTGGCGGGTCCGCCCATGAAGCCATGTGGGGCGAGACGTGCAATAATGGCCCGGCTTACTCGTGGAAGTAGTAAGTATCGCAGTGTCCATACCAAAGTTGTAGGCGCACAAGTGAAGTTAGAGCACTTATCGCCAAAACCAAAGTCAGTTGAAAGCATAGGTTTGCGAAATTATATCTGAGTAACTTGCCACTTTCGTAAGTCTAAGTAGGTCGAAAACAGCGAGTTTTTAGGCCGTGTTTTACGCGGCGACCGAAACTTAAAAAAGCAGCGTGCGACTTTGAAAAAACATGTAATAATCATTGAAAACACTATGCAATTTTGGGCACGGGCACGGCCTGCTTCAAAACGGAACATGCGCGCGGCGCGGGCCGCGCACAGCGCCGCAGCCGCTGACATTGCGCTCATGGTAGAAGAGCAACTTGCGTAATCCACACACAGAAGATGGGATGTGACGGGGACGTCTCGGGGATATGTCGGGGATCCTGCGGGGACGCGTCAGGCATGTGTCGGGGATGTGTCAGACTCATCAGCGCAGCAAGCCCAGCAGCTCACACGCAACAAATGCAGTAGCTGCAGGGAGATTTCACCCTGGCGCGCGCTCGGTCAATCCTATGCCTGGCACCTGCGCATGCATGTGGGCCAGGCGCTGCACTTGCGCGGCTAACGCGGTGTTTGACACTTCTGTTTGGCGCAGATTCTCTGCTTCACCACGTCTCTCATTGAAAACATTTGAAAAACACGATTTCCGAAAACGTGTCTGCTTTCTGCGTCGAAAAAAAGCCCCCGCAATATTCTGGTAAGTTCCATGAGTTCCAGTTTGCTGAATATCCGTGCGCCGCGGCTCCGCGGGCTAACAAACTTACTGAACTTCTAACGAGAAACGCGTGCTACTAGGTCTTATTAGTTAAGTTGTAGCGTTCATAATTGCCGTACGTATACAAAGGCCATCTTTGCGGGAAACCCGCTGACACTTAGACAATCCAAAGGCCATCTCTCTCCTTGCAGGGCGTCGTCTGTAGAAAGGGTGTCCAAAGGACTTGTCTAGGACAAGGGCGAGGTCATCAAGCGACTGGTCAAAGGGTCCAGCCGGAGAAAGAGGACTTTGCAGGTACACAGAACCGCCGTGCCGCGCCACCACGGTCTGACTATGTCTCCGCACGCAGCCCCCCTGCGTCAAACTCAATGACCCAACACGACGCGCGAACGCGCACACACACACACAAGCGCAAACAAACGCAAACACGAACGCAAACGGACGCAAACGGAAACGCAAACACACACACACACAAAGACGCAGACACAGACACAGACAAACAAACAGACACACACACACACAAAGACACACACGCGCAGACACACGCGCGCAGACAAACATACAAACACACACACAGACACAGACACACAGACACACACACTCGCAAAAACACACGCACGCGCCCCCCCGCCGCCCGCCCGCCCGCCCGCACGCACGCAAACACACGCACACGCACGCACGCGCGCACGCACACATACACACACAGACACTTACACAGAAACACAAACACCCGCAGACACATCCAGGCACCTGCGCACGCCCGCACACACACACACACACACGCCCACACGCCGCCCACACACGCACCCGCGCATGCCCCCTCACACGCGCCCGCAGACGCGTGCGCGCACGCGCGCGACGCACGCAAACAGGCACACGCACACGCGCGGACACACGCGCCCACCCACACACAACACGAACACAGACACACAGCGCATACGCACAAACAAACACAAACAGAAACAAACAAAGAGAAGCACAAACCCATACACAGACACACAAACACACACGCGCACGTGCACGCACACACACACGCACACACGCTCACGCCCACAAACACACACAGACAGACACACACATACACAGACACAGACACAGACAATCAAACAAACACACACACACACACAAAGACACACGCGCGCAGACACACACGCGCGCAGACACACACACAAACACACACAGGCACACAGACACACAGACACACAGACACACAGACACACACACACAAACACAAACGCGCGCGCCCGCCCGCCGCCCGCCCGCCCGCCCGCCCGCCCGCACGCAAACACACGCACACGCACGCACGCGCACGCACGCGCGCAGCCTCACATACACACACAGACCCTTACACAGAAACACAAACACCCGCCGACACATCCAGGCACCCGCGCACGCCCACACACACACACACACACGCCCACACGCCGCCCACACACGCACCCGCGCATGCCCCCTCACACGCGCCCGCAGACGCGCCCGCGCACGCGCGCAACGCACGCAAACAGGCACACGCGCACGCGCGGACACACGCGCCCACCCACACTCAACACGAACACAGACACACATCACATACGCGCAAACAAACACACACAGAAACAAACAAAGACAAGCACAAACCCATACACAGACACACAAACACACACGCGCACGTGCACGCACACACACACACACGCACACACGCTCACGCCCACAAACACACTCACACACGCAAACACACACAGACAGACACACACAT